CCCACCCAATAAAGCGCTTCGTAGCCCAATGGGGAGCTCCACCGAAGGCATCTATAGCACCGTCCACATGCGTCTCCCCCACACAGTACAGCGTATCATGGTCCCATCGGGAGTTCCACCGAAGGCCCCTTGTCAAAGTATACATGCGTTTCCCCACCCAGTACAGCGCTTCGCGGCCCGTAGGAAACTCCACCGAAGGTCCCAGTGGTACCGTCCGCGTGCGTCGCCCCCACTCAGTACAATGCGTCGTGGCCCGAGAGGGAGGGGCCCCGAGATGGCTCCCAAAAGGGCCCCTAAAAGAGGGATGCTCGCGCTCGAATTTTCCTTTCTTTTCGGGACCCTTCTTGGAGCCCTATTGGGGCCGACCTGGACCCCTCCCGAAGATTTCGGGGGGACCGAAAAGGGCCCCAAGACGGCCCCAAAAGGCCCGATGACTGCTTTACACTGCTGAATTCCTGAAAGAAACACCAGAAACTGCACCGCGTTGGCGCTCGATGTCGCGGCAGCGAAAACATGTCTCTTCGAGGAAGCATGTTCCACAGCAGGACGCCGCCGATGTCTTGATGATCATCTTGCCGCCCTGGGACCATCTACTATAAGCTCGCCGCAGGAATCCGCGCGCGAGACCGCCAACGGATCTCCGTGATGCACCGCGCACAGCCCGCGCACACGTATCATTTTACTCCTCCCCCTTCTCCTCCTCCTCCCCCTCCTCCTCTTTCTTATAATCATCCTCCTCCTCCCCCTCATCATCATCATCATCATCATCATCATCATCATCATCATCATCATCATCATCATCATCACCAGCAGCAGCATCATCATCATCAGCATCATCATAGTCATCATCATCATCATCATCATCATCATCATCATCAGCATCATCATCATCATCATAATCATCAGCATCAGCATCAGCATCAGCATCAGCATCAGCATCAGCATCATCATCAGCATCATCATCATCAGCAGCATCATCACCATCTTTATCTTCATCTCCATCGTCGTCAGCATTAGTAGCATCATGTTGGCTCCCCGCGTTCGTACATCCGAGCCTCCGAACAAATCCCGAAACCGTTGGGACTCGTATGTGACACCAGAAACTGCACTACTGATCATACCATATCCAAGTTTACGAGACGCTTGTGATTATTGTTTTTTTTCTGGCCCGAGGAACGCTTGGACATTTTGAACCCACAGCGAATGTGAAAAACAGCGCCTGTGTGCACGGAAATGGAGAGGGAGAATGAGGAAGAACTGCGAAAATATGCGTGGGCCCATTATAGCCCACAACGCACGCTTGCATCGTAGCGACCTTGCGCACTACAGCGATTGTGTACACCATGGCGCCTGTGTACACCACAGGGCTTGTGATGTGTACACCACAATGCTTGCGTACACCCGTTGTGCCTGCGCGCACCATGGCTGCTGCTGCAACGACAGATGAGTAAGCCAGAACGCCCGTGCACACCGCACTGCCTGCGTGCACCATAGTAAACGCCCGCGTGCACAACAGACCCTAGGCTGCCCGGGATCGCGCGCTGGATCGGGGCCGGGGCGCTACCGCTACGGGGGGGGGAGAGGGGGGGGGTAACATGCGTTATCCCTTGGGTGGATATGTCATACCTTTTTTTTATTTTTTAAAAAAAAGAGAGAGAGAATAAAAGAAAAACAACAAAAAAACTCTGGAGGGGGCGCTTCCTCCACTGGAGCGCCCGGTGCCCATGCGCCTGGAGGGAGGGCCCCTCCGCGGCAACGTTCGCGCCCACGCGGCACTGGCTGGTCTGAGATTCTCTCAGAAGCTGGCGGGCGGACACGGCAGCAAGCATTTCGGCACCCCGGGATTCTTCAGCGGTGGCGCTGTCGACTTGTTCCGAGGAACACTTCCACGGACGAGCTCTCATGGCCACCCAAATGGTCCGTCCGTTTCGCAGAGCCACCAGGCCCAGGCCAACCCATTGGCCCATCTGCTGAACGAAAGTTTTCTGTCCCCCTCGAGGAGCCCGACGCCAGACGTGAACCCATTGCCCTGGGGAAGAATGTTTACCCTTGTGAACGGGGGCCCGCAGCGCCGCCCGGGCGAGGCGACGTTGATTCGAGCTTTCGAAAACCCCTCGGCGAGCGAGCCGGCGCATCGCATCGCGGCAAGCATATACCGCGGCGGCCGCGCCCTGGTCCCAGGTTCCCGGGGAAGGGCCTTCAGCTCCCACGGCTTGGAGGGGCTCGTCAGCCATGATATCGTTAATTAGGGATGCGAGGGTTGCCCCCGAAAAAGAGTTGACATTGTGTGAACCCCCTAGTGAAGGCATCGGTTCTGGGCTGAGGTCACCTCGTGAACAAGGGCTTCCAGCTCCGAGATGCTAGCAATGAGGGAAGTGTCGGAGACCTTCAGAAAAATATGTTTAACCTGGTTTCCCTGGTCTCCCTCGCGGCTTCCTCGAGCTGGGTTGCGCTCAGCCTGCGCATCGGAGGGGCCCTGGTACCGCGTGACCCCCACGATCCCTTCCTGGCCCCCCTGTGCGGAGGGCGCTCCAGCTGTCGCCCCCCTTCGCTAGAGAAAGAGCCACCGTGTGAAGATGAACTTTCGGAGACCCGCGCAGATCCCTTGGACCGGCGCTGGACACCCCTCGCGACGCCTCCGACACCGCCCCGGGCGCTCTCCGCGCACCGGGGAGGGGGCCCAGCGCCGATCCGAAAAAAAAACCGCGCGGACGTCAGACAGCCTGTGCTCACGCTGTCCCTGGGCGTGGCCGCGGCGCCGCCCGCGCCCGCTGCCCGGGGTGCGGCACCAGCTGGCCGCCCCAGCCGCTCCGCAGTGGCCCCCCCCGCATGAGCGCCCTTCCTTCGCCCCTGCCCCGCGGCCGCGTCCTTCTTCGCTTTTGTTTTCCGCTCTTGCTGCTGGACCATCGGCGCCTGCCGTCGCCCAGCCCGCCCGAGCGCGCGCGCGGACTGCCTCTGCCGCGCTGTGCGACGTAACAAAAATGCTTCCTTCCTCGTTTGCCACCCCTCCCTCTCGTTCTCCCTCTTCTGCCGCCAGACAATTAGCGCCAGCCATCTCCCGGCTTGCAAGAGCGCACGTGCGGACTGCCTCTGCCGCGCTGCGACGCAACTTTCCCCCCACCCCCCCACCCCCCACCCCAAAAAAACGTTCCTCGATCTGCCCGTGACGGCGCGCAGCGGCCCTCTAGTGGCTCGGTCGTGCGGGCGGGCGTCTCAAGACGGTCGCCTCGGCCGCCCGCGACCGTGGCCATCTCGTGGCCCATCTCGTGCGAGGATCGAGAATCGGCACCGGGCTTGGGTGCGCTTTTCTACGTTGAGCAAGCTTGGGCCCGGGATCGTAGCGTCTGGACGGTTTCAAGAAGGCGGCATGATACGAAACACGGCGAAGGCGCTATGACTGACAGATGAAACTGCCAGCGAGTGCGGCAACGAAAGAAAAGCGAATGGTATTGGAAAAGGACGAGCGCATCCTTCTCCTCCTCCTCGTCCTCCAGCTCCTCCTCCAGCTCCTCCTCCTCCTCCTCCTCCTCCTCCTCCTCCTCCACCCCTTCTCCTTCTCAATAACCCCTCCCTGTCACACCGCGAAACATCCGCCCCGGTTTTTCGCCTGAGACTGTCTCACTATGTACGATCCGTGAGCTGAAGCTTGCAAGAGTTGCACGGATGGAGGGCGGGTCGTTTTCAACATGTGGCCCTCGCCAAAGCACTGAGCAGTTTTCCGCAAGAGCTTCAAGGGTGGACGGCGGTTCGTTTTCAAAAAAGTGGTTATCGCCTTAGCGCCGCACGCATGTATGCTTAAGAGTTTACAGCAAGTTGAAGGATTCCCATAGTTAACGTCCCAGAAGCGGTGCTTTGTAACAATGTCGGACGGCTAGGAAGCAACAGTTAGGTTGATTCGCGATGTTGGAATCCCAGGAATGGCGTTCTGGCACGATTCAGGATCGTCAAGACGCAACAATAATAGTGATTCGCGGCGTTAAAATAAATCCCAGGGATGGTGTTCTGGCACACTTCAATATGTTCAAATGGTTGTTCTCCAACGGGGAACTCCCTTCAGCGAAAGTAATCCCTTGTAGGGGCCTATGAAAAGGGACCTTTGAAAGGGGGCTTATTGCAATATCGTACGTGAGTCTTGGGATAGCTTTCGCCTCCTCCTCCTCCTCCTCCTCCTCCTACTCCTCCTCCTCCTCCTCCTCCTCCTCCCCCTCATTCTCCTCATCCTCCTCCTGCTCCTGCTCCTGCTCCTGCTCCTCCTCCTCCTCCTCCTCCTCCTCCTCCTCCTCCTCCTCCTCCTCCTCCTCCCTCCACCATCTCCTTCATTCCCCATCCTCCTCCTTCCTCTTCTCCCTCCTCCCCTCCTCCTGCCTCCTCCCTCCTCCTCCTCCTCCTCCTCCTCCTCCTCCCTCCTCCTCCTCCTCTCCTCCTCCTCCTCCTACTCCACCTTATCCTCCTCCTCCTCCTCCTCCTGCTCTCCTGCTCATCCTCCTCCTTCTCCTTCTCCTTCTCCTTCTCCTCCTCCTTCTCCTACACCTCCTCCTCCTCCTCCTCCTCCTCCTCCTCCTCCTCCTCCTCCTCCTCCTCCTCCTCCTCCTCCTCCTCATCTTCCTCGGGGAGGTCGGGGCTGGCGGTGAAGGCGCCGGAGGCGTCGCTCACGCGCAGGAGCTCGGGCCACGCGGTGGGGAAGAAGTCCTCGCTGGCCGCGTCCAGGTCGACCCAGGACGCCACGTCCTGTCACGCGCAGGGAGGACAAGGAGGATGAGGACGAGGAGGGAGAGGAGGAGTGGGGAGGGCGGGGGGGGGGAGGGAGGGAGGGAGGGAGAGAGGATGGGAGGGAGGGAGGGAGGGAGGAAGGAGGGAGGGAGAGAGGGAAGAGCAGAGAGAAGGGGGAAGGGAAAAGCAGAGGAGGAAGGGGGGAGGAGGGAGGGAGGAGGGAGGAGGAGGAAGGGGGAGGAGGAGGAAGAGGAGGGGAGGAAGGGGAGGAGGAGGGAGGGATGGGGGAGGGAGGAGGGAGGACGGGAGCATTGAGAAAAGAGAAGGCGCAGAGCCTGGTGAGATTTGAATGAATTATGGGAGAACGTGATGGGGTCTGAGAGGCTGTGAAACCTCTTCGTCCTCCTCATTGTCCTCGTCCTTTTCTTACTCCGTCGGTGTCCTCTCATGATCCTCCAAATCCTCTTTCTCCTCCTTCCTCATCCTCCTTCTCCTCATTATCCTCCTGCTTCTCCTCCACCTCCTCCTCCTCCTCCTTGTCCGCTTCTGCTTCTCCCTGTCATACTCTGCCTCATCATCTTATGGATTCCGCCCTCCTCCTCCTCCACCTCCTCCTCCCTCTCCTCCTCCTCCTCCTCATCATCATCCTCCTCCTCCACCTCCTCCTCATCATCCTCCACCTCCTCCTCCTTGTGTTCCTCCTCCATGCCCTCCTCCTCCTCCTCCTCCTCCTCCACCTCTTCCAACTCCTCCTCCTTCTCATCAGCATCAGCGTCAGCATCAGCATCAACATCAGCATCAGCATCAGCATCATCATCATCATCATCATCATCATCATCATCATCATCATCATCATCATCATCATCATCATCATAATCATCATCAGCAGCAGCAGCAGCAGCATCTTCAATCTAAATCGGCATCATCGTCATCATCGTCGTCATCATTATCGGCATCATCAGCAGTACCATCATAAGCATCATCATGACCATCATCACCATCACCATCACCATCACCACCACCATCCTGATCCTCATCCTCATCCTCATCCTCATCCTCACCATCATCCTCCGTATCATCATCAGCAGCATCATCATCAGCAGCAGCATCATCGACATCATCATCATCATCATCATCATCATCATCATCATCATCATCATCATCATCATCATCATCATCATCATCATCAACATCAGCATCATCATCAGCATCAGCATCATCAGCATCAGCAGCATCATCAGCATCAGCATCATCAGCAGCAGTATCAGCATCATCATAAGCATAGTCAGCATCATCATCAGCATCAGCATTAGCATCAGCATCAGAAGCATCATCAGCAGCATCATCAGCATCATCATCATCATCATCATCATCATCATCATCATCATCATCAGCATCATCGCCATCATCATCAACATCAGCATCAGCATCATCATTATCAGCAGCAGCAACAGGAGCATCAGCAACATCGTCATCATCATCGTCAGAAGCTACAGCATCATCAGCGTCCTCATCATCATCATCATCAGCAGCAGCATCATCATTCATCAGCAACAACATCAGCAGCACCACCACCACCATCAGCATCAGCATGATCGTCGTTATCATCATCAGCAGCATCAGCATCAGCATCAGCATTATCATAATAATGAGCATCATCATCATCATCAGCATCAGCATCAGCATCATCATCGCCAGCGTCAGCAATATCATCATCAGTATCGTCATCATCAGCATCATCATCAGCCACATATTCGTCATCATCAGCAGCATCATCAGCATCATCATCATCAGCACCAGCATCAGCATCACAATCAGCATCATCAGCATAAACATCATCATAATTATCAGCAGCATCACCAGCAGCAGCATCATCAGCAGCAGCATCATCAGATTCCTTCTTCTCCTCCTCGCCCTCCTCTGCTTATCCGCGTCATCCTCTCAATCACTATCTCGTGTATCCCGTCATCCTCGTCCTCCTCATCATCATCATCCTTCTCCACATCCTCCTCTTCCTCCTCCTCTTCCTCCTCCTCCTCTTCCTTCTCCTTCTCCTCCTCTTGCTCATCGCGAGTCGCGTCCTCCTCGACGTCGTCCTGATCGAGCCGCCTGTGCTGCGCGGTGTCCGACTGGCGACTGGCCTGCGCAGGGATCCCCAGCACGGGAGCTGAGCTGAACAGCTGCTTGATGATGTCGCACGAGGCCCGTGGCTGCGAGCAAGCACCGCGCTTCGGAGGAGTGGCCACGGCCTGGCGACAGGTGGCGGATCTCCCCGTTTCGCTCGAAGTCGGAGTCTCGAAGCGAACCTGCGTCGCGACCTGCTCAAGGACTCCACCAGGCAGCGCGTGTCCTCCAGGCTGCCACAGGTTGCTGCTTCTCCCGGAAGACCCCACATGATACACGTCGTGCACACATCGTTCAGGGGGGTGTGGGCAGCAAAGTGCATCGAATATGGGTATACTCCGATGCTCCTGGACCTTTCCTAGAGCGCGTTCTGGCCAGAGTTCAATGGACCCCACGGCGGCCCAAAGAAGACGCCAAACGTCAAAATCATCATCCTGCGGGGTTAAGGGACACGGGCGGTGGAGCACTCTTGGTCATCTCTGTCCTCACCATGTGTTCTGCCTGCGCGTTGTCCTCAGCAAGAACACTCAACACGTCAACACATACGCAACACTCACGCGGTGTTAACACCTTGCTATAAGACCTGCCGAAAATCCGGATGGACGCTGGGGTGTGGAACCAACGACGGGACAACCATCGGGACAACCGTATCCATCCATCAAAGACCTCGATCGGCAGACGGAAGGATCGATCATAATATCGATCAGCTTTAAAATCTATGCAAACACATACATGAACATATAATGATATCACTTCAACTGTACCGTATGCACAACTAGTGGAATGCCAATCTAAACATAATTATGTGTCGGTATCACAGACCTCACGCCGGTGGCACGACCTATGAGCATATACATTTATATATACTCGTGTACATAAGCACGTGTACACTTAGAATAGACGCTATCTGCGCAGGGCGCTACTTCACGATCGGGGCCCACACCGAAAAATCCAAGAAATGACAGCAGCAGGCCGGCATCGCGCATGGGTGTCCTCTCCCCCCATGCTTGTCTATTGCAATACAGTCGGCTATGTTACACAAAGTTTTTGAGACAATCAGATTCGAGGCTGCGTGGTGACGCAGGAAATCTTGTATGCAGACGGCACGCTCCTGGTCTCGCAGAACAAGACGAATGCCCGGAGCACGCTGAATTCAAGTGTCATGGAGGGGCGAAAATGTGGTCTCGACATTAACTGGCACAAAACATGACAAATGCATACTGCTACCGACGACTTGATTGTGAGGCCTGGTGGTGGTCCTATAAAGCCGTCCAAGAAGCGATATACCTGGGAGGGATGATCAAATGCGATGGTGAATCAACTCCGTAAATCACCCGCCGACTGGGGGTAGCAAATAGCATCTTCAACGAGTTGGCAACGATATGATCGAACAGCGCGGTTGGGTGGAGACGAAAATGTAAATCATACGACAACGTTCAAAGGCAGACAGATGAAGGCTCGACGCGTTTTGTCGTCGCATGCGGCGCATCTTGGGCATACCGCACTCTGATCTGTCGCGCGTGAGTAAAGCGGACGTCATGGACAGAGCTGGCGCCAAACCTCGTTCTGAGGCTCTGCTTGGAAGGCAAGAGGAAGTTGTTGTATCCCAACATCGCAGCAAGGGGGCCTTCTTACTTGGCACGCACATGACGACGTAATCAGGATGGTACTCCTTGAAGCCGGGTGGCGCGCCCGAAGCGCGAGGCCGACCCAAGCAGCACTGGGCGACCGAAGAGCACAAGACAACGCAGCACATCTGAAGTGCCCCTGTCATTGCCATCCACTTCCTCGCTCTTCTTCTTATCGCTTTTCGTTTTTTCCCCGAAGAGCTGCCAATATGGATGTTCGGCGTACACATCCGGGAAAATAACAACATCAATAATACGATCATCGTGAATGATCTGCAGACGGCAACGCCCAAAGAGGATCACTAAGTGGATTTAGCCTTTCAATGTTGGCAGCGTGCGCAGGCGTGTACCATGGGACAAGTCATTGATATGCCACATTTTGGCTTCCGCGCCCAGTGGCAACATTGGGAGGCAGACGCCACTGAATGCCCGGGTGCTCTTCCAAGCTAATCCTTCACAGGGCCGCTGGCGTGGGCGGTTCCACGTTCTGCCTTGCGGTTTCGTTCCCATCGGTCGGATGGCTAACATGCAACGCGCAATGCAGACGAGACGCTTCTCCGTAACGTTGACAGGCGTATGTCGGTCGATGCGACGGGCCCCGCCTGGTCTGATTCAGCACCTTTTCGGCTTCCATCGCTGCGCCACTTTTGTTATATTCTTTCACGGGGATGTAGTGGTGGTATAATCATATGTGTGTTTGTCAATCTCGCCATCGGTCGGTCAAGCGATCTCGCTATCTATATACACGTCTATCCACACGAAGTATGTGTTCCGCTGCAAGTACTGGTCACATTTGAGGATCGGCGACTTGCTCCCGTCGTTCAGAATGATGGCGCCCTGGCCTCAATGCAGACCACACTTCTGCATCCGACTCCTTCCTCGTCAGAACCGTCCCCTCCTTTCTCCTCCTCCACCTTCCCCTGGTCCTCCTGCTGTTGCTGCTCATCCTCCTCCCTGCTCACCCTGTTGCTCATGCGTCACAGCATGCCACAACCTCCTCCAGTGTAAACAGCTCCTCTCTCATCTCTCGCATCACGCGACGGGGTCACTTGGGGGACCCAGGTCCGCGAGGACACCCGTCGGGGGACAGAGAAAAAATGAAACAGTGGGAAGGGATCAGTGGGCGGAGCAGCTAGGATGCCAGATACTTATGGCGCGCGCCATCCCAGCTTGTGCCCCTCTTCCTTCTCTCCTCTTCCTCCTCCTCCTCCTGCTCCTCCTCCCCCTCCTTCCTCCTGCCTGCGGATTGGTATGGTAAAGGACAACTCGAAAAAATGGAAATCCTGAAACGCATCATCATCATCATCATCATCATCATCATCATCATCATCATCATCATCATCAGCAGCAGCAGCAGCAGCATCAGCAGCAGCATCATCAGCATCATCCTCATCATGATCATCATCGTCATCACCAGCATCATCATCACCATTATCATCACCATCATCAGCATCAGCATCAGCATCAGCATCATCATCAGCTTTATCACCACCACCACCACCACGATCGTCATCATATCATCAGCATGATCATCCTCATCATCAGCATCATCATCATCATCAGCACCATCATCGTCATCGTCATCGCCACCATCATCATCACCATCATCACCATCATCATCATCAGCATCATCGCCAGCATCGTTATCATCGTCATCATCATCAGCATCATCATCATCATCGTCATCATCACAACCACCACCGCCACCACCATCATCACTTCTTCTAGCTCCTCTGACTGAGGCGAATGGAGGCCCGCCACATGGGGCCAGAGCGCACGGGGCCAGAAAATGGCGCCGCATCGCCGACGCGTCGTCGATGCATCGGCGACGCTTGGACGGCGGCGAAGACCGGGCCCCAGATCGAGCCGCAACGCCGATGCATCGGCGATGCGACACTCGACCCTCCGACCGGACCTGCTACGGCCCAGCCTGGGCGGCATTGAGGCCCCGGGCGGGCGGGGCCGACCTCTCGGACCTCGGCCGGCCGTCGCCGCCGAGGGGCAGGAGGGGGCGAGCCCGCGGGGTGGCCGCCGCGCGGTCCTGGGGGGCGGGCCCGGTGCCCCGGCTGCTGCCCTCGGGCCTCGGCGCTCTCCTCCGCAGGGAGAGTGAACACGCCTCCTCCTCCGCCTCCTCCTCCGCCTCCTCCTCCTCCGCCTCCTCCTCCTCGTCCTGGGTACTGGGCACTGGCGGCTCTGGGGTCGTGGTCGACGCAGCCTCCCCTCCTCCTCCTCCTCCTTCTCCTCCAGCGACAGGACGAGGTGGAGGAGGGGAAGGGGGAGGGGAGGGGAGAGAGGGAAGGAGGGAGCAGGAGGGGGAGGAGAAGCAGAGAGAGCAGGAGGAAGGTGGAGGAGGAGGACCAGAGTAAATTCAGGATGCATCAACGATTCTACAACATGTCCTCCCGCCCGAAGACCCCTCTTCAGAAGTCCCTACAAGCGTTCCTCTTTACCACAAGAACCGCCCCCTTGAAAGACAAGCCAACTACGGGCCTACCATTCATGCGACAGCCCCGTTTTCAAATTGAACAGACTTACGTCTTGTTCACCATAACTAAAGGATGCAAAAAGGTATGATCATACAGTTCAACGAGGTGTCCAGCGAGACTCCCGTCTTGAAGAGGAGCCAACCCATCCAAGTATTTCACAAGTTTGCATTTATGGTCATGACCTTCGAGCGAGAGCCCCAGTTTGAAGAGGAGCCGCCATCCATCGGTGCAGCTATTGCGTGATTGTTAAGCTTCTGATCTGAAGTTGCACGGAGTACAAATCAAACGCCAAATTTCGAAAAAGAGTCAGTCATGCATCACTGTATGTGTTGCAGGCGTTCGAGACAAATGCACGCACCGCTAAAGCGAGAGCCACATTTTGAAATGGAAGCACCATCCTCGAAACTGTTACAAATTTGTCAGACGAATGTGCTCGGCGCTGAGGGGGAGTCCTATTTTGAAAACTACCCATCCCACGCGCATCCTTGTAACCATTTCGTGTTCGAGCTTCAGCACCATGAATTGTGAGGAGTTCTCAGGAGAAGCTCACGGCCCGCCCTACCGAGGACACGTCTGGGGGTGCGACAGGAAAGAGTTATGTACGTAGCACCCCGCAGATGCGGATAAGAGTGAGGGGGCGGGGGGGACGTCGGCAGTCTGCGAGTCTGGAGAAGCCCGCCGCAGGCGCCAAAGCTTTACAAATTGTACAACGAGCCCGCCGCAGGCGCCGATCTTTTCTTCGAACCAATGTGGACCGGTCGCGAGGGGGTCGCGGGTGGGTCGCGGGTGGGTCGCGGGGTGGGTGGCGGGGTGGGTGGCGGGCGGGTCGCAAGTGGGTCGCGGGTGGGTCGCGGGTGGGTCGCGGGGTGGTCGCGGGTTGGGTCGAGGGTGGGTCGCGGGGTGGGTCGCGGGTGGGTCGCGGATGGGTCGCGGGGTGGGTCGCGGGAGGGTCGCGGATGGGTCGCGGGGTGGGTCGCGGGTGGGTCGCAAGTGGGTCGCGGGTGGGTCGCGGGGTGGGTCGCGGTGTGGGTCGGGGGGTGGGTCGCGGGGTGGGACACGGATGGGTCGCGGGGGGGACGACGACAACAACAACAACAACAACAACAACAACAACAACAACAACAACAACAACAACAAAAACAACAACAACAACAACAACCATTTTAAGGCTGTACGCTCTTACTTGCCCGCGAGTCATTCAACACGTATACCCTACACCCTCGATACCCGCCCTCTTCGTCTTCGATCACACCCCTTTCGGGGGGATTATTTCTCTTTGCTGGGGCCGGCGGGCTTAGACGTACGGGCAAACCGGAACGGGCGGACAATCCTTCGGGGGCGTACATCTCTCTGCCCGCCATTGGAATTGGCGCGGGCCCTGCAAGAGGAGGAGGGGAAGAACGAGGGAGAGTGGGAGGAAGGGGAGGGGGAAGGACGAAGGAAGAGGGAAGATACCACGTTGTGAAGGCGTCCTTGGCGCGCGCGTGGTTCCTGAGCGCCGAAACGCAATTCCAGAATAATTTGTGAGGACGTCGCACGCGAGAGCGCAGTCCTGAGTACATTGTGAGGAAATCTCAGGCGGAAGCGGGGGCCCTGACTAAGTTGCGAGGAAGTCTCAAGCGGGAGCGCCGTTCCTGAGCAAATTGCACGGAAGTCTCAGGCGGGAGCGGGGGTCCTCACTAAATTGCGAGGAAGTCTCAGGCGGGAGCGCCGTTCCTGAGTCAATTGCGCGGAAATGTCAGGCAGGAGCGGGGGTCCTGAGTAAAATTCGAAGAAGTCTCAGGCGGGAGCGCCGTTCCCACGTAAATTGCACGGAAGTCTCAGGCGGGAGCGGGGGTCTTGATTACATTGCGAGGAAGTCTCAGACGGGAGCGCCTTTCCTGAGTAAATTGCGCGGAAGTCTCAGGCGGGAGCGGGGGTCCTGAGTAAAAATCGAGGAAGTCTCAGGCGGGAGCCGTTGTTGTTGTAGCCCGGGGGGCAGGGGCACAGTTTGAGCAGGAAGACTTTCTTTCAGAAAAAACAAGGTGCGAGCCCCGGGGGTGGCACTTCAATCGAAAAAAATAAATGTGCACCGGTGGGGGGGATCAACAATAATTATTCTTCAAGAGTGAGAGTTCAACAACAATAACAACAATTGCAACAATGACAGCAACAGCAACAGCAACAACAACAACGCAACAAGCAAAATCCCAACCACATATTTTCACTTCAGCCACGCACCCAGGGACAATGAATGACCGTTCGGCACCCTCACTTTAGGGGGTGAAGGAGGAAAAGGACGGAAGAGAGAGCGCAGGAAGGAGGAGGAAGGGGAAGCAGGACAGCTCTGTTGCACCGTAAACCTATAGAACATGCAGCCTCCGAATTATCAGCATCACCACCACCACCACCACCATCATCATCATCATCATCATCATCAGCATCAGCATCAGCGTCATCATCAGCTTCGTCAGCAGCATCAGCATCCTCATCGTCATCATCATCAGCATCATCATCGTCATCGTCAGTATCGTCATCAGAATCATCATCATCACCATCATCATCGTCATCATCGTTATTGTCATCATCGTCGTCGTCATCATTAGCATGACTTACATGCATATTTTTTAGCGGTGATTACTTCTCTCTACTGCACTCGCTGGTCTAAGCGACTCGGATCCGAGATGGGAAGACAGAGCGGAGTTCGAACTCCGCAGTTAAACTTCACACATCATCCAGGCATTATACCGCTCCTCAAAAGGGGTTGGGCGGGAGGGGAGCCCAGACGACTACTGAGTGACACGCTGAGGTGATGAGACCGACATCCCAAAATCCGCTAAGTCATTAATGTGCACGCACCCCCATGACTTACATGCATATTTTTTAGCGGTGATTACTTCTCTCTACTGCACTCGCTGGTCTAAGCGACTCGGATCCGAGATGGGAAGACAGAGCGGAGTTCGAACTCCGCAGTTAAACTTCACACATCATCCCAAATCACAAAACCCAAAACAGGTTCTGTTCTCACACTGATAGATACAGAGCACGAGGGACAGCCAGCAGCGTGAACGCCAGGGCTCTCTGGAACCTCTTTGGGATCTGGTGGGCGGGGCGAAGCAAAAAGAGGTGGGGCTGGTGGCTGTCACGGGAACGCTTGCCAGGGCACGCCAGGCCAAGGCGAGAACAGTCGGCAGACTGTATATTGAGAATGTACGAGACAGTCGGGAATCTGCCGCGACCTCCATATCTGCACATGTGCGAAACCTGACAGAGAACACCCTCAAATTCGCTAAACGCTCGGTCGACGTCTAAACTTAGCTTGGCACGGCACACAATCATAACTGGGAGCCTCAACTTCACAGCGAGGGTGATCAACGAACGAGCTCGCATTATCGTGTCCGAATCTGTTACTGAGACAAACAAGGCAGCAATGCGCGACTCCTGAAAATCTCGGCGCAGCGCGAGCAAGGAACCAAGCGTCAGATCCCGCTCGGCCAGGCTTCTGGCCAAGAAACCCTGCCGCGTGACATGGTGCGGCTGCAGGAAAGCGTCGCCGACCATCAGCACGAAAGGACGACGTTCCCCTAACGGGAAATGGAAGCGGGCCTGGGCACCGCGAGGCCGCGCAGCAAGATCTCCACGAATCTTTCCTCGCACTGCTCGGCGTGGCTCTGGCGCCAGGCCGGGTGGCGAGCCCAAGTGCTGGCCAGGCGAGCTCCCTTCTCGTACCTCACCACCGACCGATCGGCTTTCCAGCCGCCCCTCTTCTTGACCTCGGCCAGGGTACGCCTGCGGGACGCCATGTCTGCGCTGGCGCCGCTGTGCCGAGCCTGGTACACCACCAGGTCGAAGCCGAGGTCCTTGGCGACCCTCGCCACTGTCGCCGCCAGCTTCGGGTAGGTGAACGACCACACTCGACGGCCCGCAGGCAAACTTTTCAGCGTCGTGAGCATCGGAGAGAGGCGGGACCACCAGGCGTGGTCGAGCTCGATAGTCACGTCGAACTCCTTCGCCTTGGACGGGACCCCCTCGGGCTCGGGGTTGAGCTGGACCGTCCAGAAGGTCGACACCCGCGAAGGCGGGTACAGGTATTCGGGCTTCAGGGCCATCAGCTGGATGGGCCTGGCGTAGGTGCTCCACACCAGGCAGATGAACAGCGCCATGTCGAAGCGGCCCAGCAGCACCAGCCCGTTCACGATGGCACACCAGATGGGCCACGCCTCGGGCAAGCGAGATGTGGACGGGCAGAGGTTCTGCCAGCCCCTGAGCGCCCTCCATCTGCGTGACAAGGTGTGGGGTCCGTTCTTGCCCACTTTCGGCTGGCCGTGAACCACGCCAGCGATCAGCTTCATCCCGCGAGCAGCCGAGACGCCCCGACGGATCTGCTGGTCCATGTAACTCACCAGCAGGTCGTCCAGGTCCGTGATCGGGATGTCGGTCAGCTTCTCGGCGTTCGCAAACGTCCTGAACGCAGCCACCTCTTGGGCGTACTGGGCCTCCGTTCTCGGCCTCACGGCGGCGTGTTCTCCCGCTGTGAGGTGGGCAAAGTCGGGCAGCGTCCTGGCCGACAGGAGGGTCTCGAGGGCCTTCTTGGCCCGCGGCGGAGGCGTACGAGTACGAGTGGTCGT